GGGAGCTGGGGCCGAGCCCGCGGCTGTGCGCATGCGCGGCAAGTGTGCGTCTGCACGTGTCCGAGTATGTGCCTGGGACTCAGCCGCGTTTGGGTCGATCTCTCTCTCTCTCCCTCCCCCCACCCCCCTCCTGCTTGCTTTCTCTTTCTCAAGCTTTATCCCTCCTTCCTCCTTTCCTCCCCCCTCCCTGCCTGCCTCCCTCGTCTGTCTCTTCCTCTACCTTCTCCCTTTCCCTCCCTTTGCCCCTGCCAGTTTTCTGCCTGGGTGGGGGCTCGATCCTGCTTCCCTGGCAGGACACCCTGCCTTCTCTCCCCACCTGCCACTCTTCTTCCTCCAGGCTACCCTCCTCAGGTGGCAGACGACTTCCACCTAGAGAAAGGGGTTTGCAGGGAGTACCCCAAGCCTCGTGCCATGATGCCTTCTGCAGCCAGCGCCTTGGCCCTGTGACATTCATGCCTCCGGCCCTCAGCTGCCCCGACCCAGCTCCAATTACCCGCTGGGCGGCTGCTGGGGGGAGGGGAATGTGCCCGACCCAGCCTAGGGGGGCTGGTAAGCCCTCCTTAGGCCTTCTTGGCAATTTGGATCGCTTTCCTTTTTTTTTTGTTTTTTGTTTTTTGTTTAAAAAAAAAACACAAAAAACCGTTTGTTTCTTAGGATGCAGGGTCGCACTATGTAGCTGAGGCTGGCCTTGAACTCATGGAAATCCTCGTGTCTGTTTCCCAAGTGCTGGGATTTGGGGCATGTACTACTACACCCAGCTATCTGGCCTCCTGTTTAAGAGGGCAGTTGGGACAGAGGGCATGGGGGTTGGATGTGGCCAGAGAGGTGACCCCTGAACCTGGGTGCCCCCTCAATGCCTTTCTGGGGATGAGATGCAGGTGGGTGAGGTGCTGGGGAGCTGGTGGAAAGAGGAGCTTTGATGTTAGCACTGGGCATCCGGCCCAATGCAAGGCTGCTGTTTATGGCTTTCTGTCCCTGACCTGCAGGGGGAGAGTTTCCTGTTATATTCTTGGGGCGTCAGGGAGGATCCTTTGTTTGAGTTGCTAGTCTTCCCTTTGGACACCCCCAAATCCCATTCCTTGGCCCCTCAGGTCTCTCAGCAGCTAGGACATCAGATTCCTGGTCAAGACCCTTGCGCTGCAAAATCCCCTCGCATCACCTGTGCCCTGCAGCGCCCGCCGAGGGGCGCTGCCTGCCGCCCCCACCTCCCACGCCTGCCGTGCCATGCCCCAAGTCTGTGTGCTCCTTTCCATCATCCCTGCCAGACAGTACCTGCCTTCACGCCTGTCTTTCCTGGCACGGGGAAAACAGACGGTTGGGTGGGGCAGCTGTGCCCAATCCTTCAGGGAGCAGAAATGGGGAGCGGGCTGGGGGGCTCGGATGCCAACCTTAGGAGGTCTCTACCCCTCCACAATGCAGGGTGTGGGTGGCTGCCGCGGCTCTGTGATAGCCATAGACTCCCAGGGACTGCTGGATTGGTGGCTGCCCACGGGAGCCCATGTTGGCACATGGGCAGCGTCTGCACACAGATGCCTGTTTGCCCATGCATGCCTGTGTGTGTCTGGGCTACCGTGGCTGCCTTGGCCCTGTGGCATGGCCCTGTGGGCATGGATGCCAGGTGACTGGGAGTGGGTGGGTGGGGAAAGGATCTCCCCCACCCCTAGCAGCAGGCAGAGAGGGGAAGGGGAGAGGGAGGTGTGAACCTACCCACAGCACTATTAATAGCCCACATGCCAGGCCACCAAGAACCAGCTGTCTCCGTGGAAACCAGTCCCGCTCCCCCTCCCCCAGCCTCCATGGGGTGGGACTTCGGCAGGGCATGAAGCACCCCCCACCCATCCACCCATCGCTCTTTGTTACCTTTTTCCCTTTGTCTCCCCTCCTCGGGTTCCTCCTTCTCTCATGACCCCTTCCCATTTCTCCTTTCTTTTCCTCTACTTTGCTGACACCCTATTTCTGCCCCCATCCCTACCTCATCTTTTTGTTCTTCTCCCTCCCCATCTTTCCCTTCTGTCACCCTTTTGCCCCTTCCTCTTCCTCCTCCAGCCTCTCAACACAGCTCTGTCTGGAGTTGAGGAGGAGGAGGGCTGGGCTTTCTTCAGAGCATTAAGGGCAAAGTTCAGCCCCCCTCCCATGGCGGCCCAAAGCCCAGTGCAGATATGTAGCAGTGCAGATATGTAGCAGAGTATTAAGTGGCTGGCTCTTGGGGGCAGAGACTGGCTGCTGGCAGCCCCAGAATTCTCTGGGGGTGTCCCTTAGATCTGCAGAGCTGCAGAGTGGGACAGACGGCAGTGGGAACCTGGCACGGTGCCCACGGATGCCGCATCGTTCCTCGTCCCTGTCCCCCCCGTTGCAGAAGCACTTAAGCTTAATGAAATGCTTCCCCCTCTGCGGGCACCTTGCCCACGCTGCCACCCGGCAGCTCTGGCGGCGCGTATCTGACAGAGAGGGAGTGGGTGGCCAGGCCAGCAGACAGGTGGGTCTTGCTGTCCCTGCCCTCCAGATGAGTCTCAGAGCCCCAGAGCTCCACCCCTCCAGCTCCTGAGGCCCAGGCCTCCCCCTGCCAGGGGGTGTGCCAGGAAGGAGCTTAGGAATATTAAGCAGAACTCCCAGATGAGGGGAGGCAGGCTGCCCTGGAGGATGGGCGGCTCTGCCCCTACCCCATGCTCTGCCTGCAGGGAACGCAGGGGCACGTGGCTGGTGCTGCCACGCGTGCTCGGCCCTCAGTTGCCTTAGAGGACCCAGGGTCTCTGGAGAGACTTGGAGGAGTCCACAGTGGTGTGGATTCTTGCTAGGTGCCAGGCAAAAGTGCCCGGGCAGTGAGGTCTGCACCTTGTCCCTCTGCCTCGTGCCAGGGGCCTAGCCATGCTGGACTGATGGCACTAGGGCACCGTTCAGATCTGCACGGAGGTGGGACTGAGAAGGACCCTGCCCCTCCCACACACCAGCGCGTGCAAGCCCTGGGCAGTGTCCAGAGGCATTTGGAGTTAAGGCTGGGCCAGGGAGAGGGAAGGGGAAAACAAATAGGGTGGCTTAGGTTGGCACCACCCCAGGTCTGCCCTGTAGCAACTGGTAGCAGTGGGGGGGGGTCCTCCAAAGCTGTGGCCTGGAGCAAGAACTGCCTGTGCCATGCGGCTGCCGCTGGGGTTCCCTGCCTGGCCTGGCCCGCAGCTGCCGATGCCCAAGCCTACCCTCCCTGGCCCTGTTTGCTGCCCCCAGGGCCTGCTCCCCAGGGCTGCCCCTCTCTGTGTGCCCACTCCTGGGCCTGCCTCCTCTCCTCCCAGGGGGCGCTCGGGCCTCTGGCTGGCGAGTGGATTTTTCCAGCTTCTGTAAACAAGTGGTGGCAGTGTGCCAGGCGGGCAGGAGACAGGCGGGGGCAGCACCGCAGCCAGGGTGTGCCAAGCACCGAGGCACAGCTTGGGGGGGGGTACAGGGAGACACCCGGACCCAGAGGGGGAGAGAGAGAGGAAGAGAGAACGCACACTCCAGACACATACGGGCGACCAAGTGCAGCCTCCTGGGCCCAGAGAGAAGCAGGAACAGAGTGGCCTCTATTGTCCAGCCTGGCCTGCTCCTCATCCCTGCCCCTCTGTCCTGGCTGTGAGCCTTGAGCCCCAGTGCCCAGCCCGGGCAACCCCACCCACTCCTCCTCTCCCACCTCCACCCCTTAGGGCTGGCTACGCCATTATAAATTTATAACAGGAATTTCTCCACAAGCCAAGAAAAACTTGACCTACTTTCTTGACGGCTCCCTGGGCTAAGGCTCCCTGCTTAGCCCCCCCAGTCTGCTGTCCGGCCCCCATTGCCCAGTTCTGGCCTGGGGGGTATTGGAGACAAAATGGGCCACTTTTCCACACTCCTCCCACGCTCCCCACCCATGGGCTGCCCTGGGCCCTGGCTTATCTCTGCCCCCTTCTCTTACCCTGGCCCCTTATCAGCTCCTGGGGGTAGGGCAGAGAGGATGGGGGGTTCGGGCTAGGTCTCTGGTACAGGGCCCACGTGGTAAGGTTGAGTGTGGGGACAGGAGCTCTTTGTCCCCGCCCACCCGCGCACCTGCCTTCATGCACGGAGACACAGGCCACAGGCCTGCAGCCCAGGGCCTGAAGGGCAGCATGTTGGGCTGGTGGGTACAGGCTGGCACCGCCCTGGACTCAGGTAGCAGAACAAGGATGGCATTAGAGCAGGGCCGTGGACCAGGCAGGGACGGTCTCCACGCCACCTGCTCCCTTCCAGTGTGAACTTAGGGGAGGGGTCATGCTTCTGGCCACTCCATGTCCTCGGTTGTCAGGCTGTGTCCACCTCTGAAGGCTCACCCATTCAGCCAATGTCTTAGTTTCCTTTGCCCCTTTCCTCGTTATCCCTGTGGCTGGCAACTCAGCTCAAGTGGCCGAGCAGCCCAGTCATCAAACTGGGCAGTGGCATTGGGATCTCAGCCAGAGCCTGGGCATCGGTCCTGCCGTTTAGGGTCTGTCTCCATCAAGGTGCCGCGGTGGGCATTCGTGATCGCTGCGTGCTGCCCCTGCACCATGGCCTGCGTAGAAACCAAAGCCCCTGTGCCCATCCCTGCTGGAGCCTTCTCACCTCTGGTCCCCTCTTGCCCATCATCCTGATGAACCTTAAGACACTTGGGTAGATGGTGGTCACAGAGCCGACGTCTAACACTCGCTAAGGGCAGCAAACCCTCTTTTTCTTTTGTCTTTTTGGGACAGGGTCTCACTGTGCACTTCAGGCGGGCCTGGAGCTCACTTTGTAGCCCAGCTGGCCTTGAACTCAATCCTCCTGCCTCAGCCTTCCCAAGGGGTGGGATTACAGGACTGTGCCACCACACCTGGTCCTTGGGATGCGAAGTTCCCTGTGCCCTCATGATCCTTCTTTCCCACATCCTTCCTGTGTCGGGGGCTTTCTTGAGATGGGCCCTAGAAGACCCCAGTGTTGCTATGGGAGGAACTCTGCCTCTCTCATGGCGCTTCCTCACCCCAGCCTCTGTGTTCTTTCCACAGGGATCTCTGAACAGGACAGGACTCTGAGGAGACTCCCCAGCCCAGGAGCCCAGCCGGCCCCCCAGCTCCCCACCTGCCACTCCCTGGCCCCTCCCACCACCCGCCCCCCTCGGGGCGCAGGGCATGGTGTGAAAGGCCGAGTACTGGGCGGGTGCCATGGGTGCTGGGCCCTAAGGCCTGGGTGGTGGGGGGTGGGTGGCCTGTGGGCGTGTGGGGGGCCAGCGTGCCTGCCCCAGTCTCTTGGCGTGCTGGAGGGCATCCTGGATGGAATTGAAGTGAATGGAACAGAAGCCAAGCAAGGTGGAGTGCGGGTCAGACCCAGAGGAGAGCAGGTAATGCATGGGGCGGGAACCTGCTGGCACCAAGTCCAGGCAGTGGACGCAGTGCCTTGCCTGCCTGGGCAGGAGAGACGTGGGTCCCTCAGACACCCCTCTCTGGAAGCAAGGGGATGTGTTCTGATGTCCTGGGGAACGAGGCGCTCAGATTGGGAGATGCCTCCTTGCAGGGCCAGCAGCCACGAGGTCCCAACTTGGGGGTGCTTGGAGAACTTGGTGCCTCAGTGGCCTCGCTGCTCGCACCCCAGTACGCTGTGCGACCTACCCTGCCCCAAAGCCAGTCCAGTCTGACCACACGCAGGCGCCGTCCGTGGTCCTGGCGCACGGAAGGTGACATTTCAGGGCACACGCATCTGTAACTATTGGTCACGGCCCACGCTTCCACTTGGAGTCTCACGGGAGCCCCACAAGCCCTTCCTTGTTCTGGCTGCAGGGGTGCGGCTCTGGGGCTCCTCCCAGGAAATGGGAGCCCAGGCCAGCGGTGAGGGCTTTGCTTCCACGTGGGTGAGGCGACAGCCCTGCACGCGGGCAGGCGCGGTCACCCCTGACCTGCCTTGTCCTTGAGCTGCCCAGAGGGTCTCTGCCACTCCCATCAGCTCCAAGTGGCACAGAGCTCTGTCCCAGTTGGCGTGGTGTCCCAGGAGCTGGGTACAGCCTGTGCCTATGGCCAGGGAAAGGGTGGGGGTGGGGGCGCTCTGGGGAGCAGTGTGGCTCCCGGTTGCCAAGGAGATCGGAGTGTGAGCCAGGAGGCCGGAGGCCAGGCCAAGCCCTGGGGCCCAAGCTTGGTTCCCTGAGGGGCAGAGGAAGTGATGGGCTCCATGGTTGTGTACACAGGGCACTGGGGTGGTGCCCTACTCCAAAGCCCTCAGCCCCGTGTGAAAGTGGACGTCTGGGCTGCCACTGTAGAAGTGTCACTTGCACCCCCAGAATATTCCTGCCCAGACTTCTCTGGTCCCAGAGAGTCTGCCTTTAAAGGCGGGAAGGCAGGTTCTCAGTGCCCGGGCCGCGGCCCCTCCCCCACCCGCTCCCCTCCCCCCCAATCCGTGCGCCACCTCGTGGCTGTCCCTGGAACTGCGCCCAGAAACCAGGAGGCGGGTAGTTGTGGAAGAGGACAGCTCTGCGGGGGCCTAGGTGGGCGAGGTGCCCTGCCTGCCCTCCGGAAGGCGGGAGGGAGGCTGACCCTGCAGCCTCCTAGGAACCAGAGGAGGGCGATCCCCAGGGGCGTGGAGCACAGGGCCGTCTGCGACTGTGACCCTGGCCAAGGTCACTGTGTCAGTGTGTTGGGAGCTGCAGCCGGCTCCAAGAGGAGGGGCCCTGGGGCATGCCACGCGCAGGGTGGGTGTGGAAGGTTATACAATCCTTGCATGCGTGCAGAGGGCTTATGTAACCTGCGTGTACCGAGGTTATGTAACACGTATGTGCAGAACCTAGCAACATGTATGTGCTGCGGCGAGGCTGGCTGCTAATACCCAGCACGGAGGGGCTCAGGGGCCTTGCGCGGACGCCAGCAGACTCTAGCGCAGTGTTACCAGGCACAAGTGCACTTTGGTTTGCGGCTGTGCTGCAGGAAGGCTGTGAGCACGCAGGATGATCCAGTATTTTCCAGGCTATGGGCTATTTAGCATGTGGGCGTGGCCTGGAAGTCACCAACACGTTCACGCCGGGGGAGGGGAGATTGCTGGGTGCCTGTCCACAGGCTTGTGTAACACACAGCCTCTCCTAGGGGTCATGTATCACCCTCGAGAGTGCCTAGAAGTTGCAGAGATCTAGAGCCCAGGACTTATTACCATACTTGGGTTTATACCAGAGCCTGCGTCGTTATTCATTTGCGCGGGTGTGTGTTGCATATATGTGTGTGTATTCTAAAGGTTGCACAGCTTGGAGAATATTCTAAGGGTTCTGTCAGCATATTTATCATCCATGAAGTCTTAAATATGTGGCTGGCCTGTGGACTGTGGCCTGTGGACTGTGGCCTGTGGACTGTGGGTGCTTGAAGTCTGCAGTGCGTGTGCGTGCGTGTGTGTGTGTGTGTGTGTGTGTGTGTGTGTGTTGGGGCCCTAGAACCTGCTTTTTAGACCAGCCAAGCCCCTTATCTTTCCCTGCAGTTCCCAGATAGCTGGGCCCTTCTCAGCTTTGTCAGCTGCTGTGGGGTGGGAGGTAAACCGAGGACGGAAGATGGAGGCACTGGGCCTGGGGGATTGCATGAGCCTGTTGGGTAAAAAAGGGGTTCCCCCAGACTGCTCTGTGACGCTGCCCAATTTGCCCCCATCCAGTGCCAGGTCACCAGATGGAAAGCGAAAAAGAAAGAACGGCCAATGTTCCCTGAAAACCAGCATGTCAGGTGAGCTGGCTTCGTAGGCTCGGCTCGCCACGCCTCTCTGGGTGCTGGGCGCAGTCCAGCACCTCCTGTGTCCTCGGGGAGAGCTCCCAGAGGGTGAGGGGACTTCCCGGGTTTGGAGCCATGATGTGGGATACGCCCCTACTTTTAGGAGTGAGGAGGTCCTTCTCTAACCTCCTCCCAGCAGGCCCCCAGCAGAATAAGGGCCTCGGCCAGAGAATTTGGACCTGGATTCTCTTGGAAGGAGCTGCTGAAATCCGTTGCTCTTGCCACCACACTTAACGTGGCAGGGTACAGTGCTGCAGGCCTTGGGAGGCTGAGGCAGGAGGGATCACTTCTATCCAGCCCAGGAATTAGAGGCCAGCCTGGGCATCAGAATGAGGCCCTGTCTCCAAACTGAAAAACAAAAAAAGCTGGGGAGGATAGAGCTGAGTGGTAGGAGCATTTGCCTCACATGCATAAGGGCCTGAGTTTGATTCTCAACACTGCAAAGATAGAAAGGAAGAGGGAGATAAAGTTAGCAAGCCAACCAGCCTGGAATGGGCAGGGAAGAGAATCTCCAAGTTCTGCCTTCCTACCTGGAGACGGAGCCCTTCAGTGAGGCTGGGCTGCGGGCCGGGGCAGAAAACAAAGGTTGGGAGCCTGTGCAAGCCGTGTGCCACGCCTGCCCTCTCCTGCCTTTCCTCCTCCAGGGTATATCCCTAGTTACCTGGACAAAGACGAGCAGTGTGTTGTGTGTGGGGACAAGGCCACCGGTTATCACTACCGCTGTATCACGTGTGAGGGGTGCAAGGTACGACCCCCTCCTCCCCTCGCCCCCCAGTCCCTCATGCTCCGCTCCGTTATCTCATTCGCTTTCATGCCTTGCGTGTTCATTTATTCGTTCATTCCTACTCCCTCTGCTACCGCTCATAGGTGAACTGCCTACCCTCGCTGAGCCTCACTTTCTCCATCTATAAAATGAGGATAATCATACTAGCTGTCTCATGTCATTGTTGGCAGAATTGAGTAATTTACAGGAAATGTTTAAGATGTGCAAGGGACAGGAGAACTTGGTAAATGGCCGTTGTTACGCAGCCAGGCATCGTGTTAGGATTGGCATAGTAGCGCATGCCTGTAACCCCAGCACTTGGGAGGCTGAGGCAGGATCGCCAGGACTTCAAGGCCAGTCTGGCTTCAAGGCTAGGCTGGACTACATACCAAGGCCTTGTCTCAAACAGTCAGATGGGGCCCGGGAGATGGCTCAGTAGAATAAGCGCTTGCCGGCAAGTGCAAGGGCCTGAATTCAATCCGGGTTCTGCAAAAAAAAAAAAAAAAAAAAAAAAAAGGCAGACAAATGAAAGGGTATACAGTGAATCTTCAGTAAATCTTAACTCTTCATTCTGTTGCTAGTCTTGACTTTTGGGGGTTTTCCTTGAAAGCCAAGATTAATCCAGATACACAACATTAAAAAAAATTTTGTTTTCACTGCAAGGTCCTAGAGTTTATGTGTAATTTCTTTCTTTTCTTTTGTTTTCTTTTGGTACCGGGAATCTAACTCAGGACCTTGCATTGTCAGGGAGGTGCTGTGGCACTGAGCTATCTCCCCAGTCCCTTCTCTCGACTTTTGAAGCTCCTATTTCATAAACCTACACAAGCACCAGGCAAAGTACTGTATTTGAACGTGGCTTCGAAGTTAGTGTTGGCTTTAGACTCAGCTAACCCAAATGGGAGCTCTAGGTGGAAAATTAGCTCTGGCCTCCCAGAGCTGCTGTTCATTCCTTCAGGCCTTGTAGCGCTTCCCACCACTCCAGCCCCAAAGCTTCCTCGGGGTTGGGAGAGTGCATTTCCCGTTCTTTACTTCCCTGGACCCCTGTGTCAGAGAAGGGCACATCCTTCGCCACCTCTCCTCCTCCCCACCCCATGAACTGTGGGGTTGCTTTAGCCTGGGAAGCCAGGGTGAATGCCTGCACCATCTCCCCCATCCCAGGGCTTCTTTCGCCGCACAATCCAGAAGAACCTCCACCCCACCTATTCCTGCAAATATGACAGCTGCTGTGTCATCGACAAAATCACTCGCAACCAGTGCCAGCTGTGCCGCTTCAAGAAGTGCATCGCAGTGGGCATGGCCATGGACCGTAAGGGGCCCAGGCCCACGGGTGCGGGCAGCTGGGACAGGGGCAGCTCGGGGCTGGCAGCTCCCTTGCAGGGTGCTCTTGGTGCAGAGTGAGGGTCCAGGCCAGCTCAGGCTGGTGGCAGCTAGGCAGGGTCTTCTTCTCTCCTGCCTTGTTGCCATGGGCAGGAAACAGGATTCCTCTATGGCCTGCCAGGGCACCAGTGCCCACAGCCTTCAACACCTGAGGGTCATCCTCCAAGTGTGTCTACTCCCAGAATGGGCACTCATTTCTGGGAGAGGGGGCTGGGATCTGTGGGTCATCAGATAACCTGCCACTCTGTGCTGGGCACACGGGATTCCTCCAGAGGAGCCCCATCGGAGTGATCGTGGGCGAGGTCACACCAGGCACGTGGGAAGCCTCAGCCTCCCTGGCCCTCGGTTTCCCTGCCCAGGAAGTAGACTGTGAAGAGGGCGCAAGTGCGCCTTGCAAAGGGCCTCGTGTCTGTCTGTCCACAGTGGTTCTCGATGACTCAAAGCGTGTGGCCAAGCGAAAGCTGATCGAGCAGAACCGGGAGCGGCGGCGGAAGGAAGAGATGATCCGGTCCCTGCAGCAGCGGCCAGAGCCCACTCCTGAGGAGTGGGACCTGATCCACGTGGCCACCGAGGCCCATCGCAGCACCAACGCCCAGGGCAGCCATTGGAAGCAGAGGCGGAAATTCCTGGTGAGGACTCCGGTGGGAACGGGGAGGGCAGCAGACTGAACATGACCCAGAGCTGATCCTCTCGTGCTGCCTCGGCAGTCCCAAGAGGGTACACCTGGATGTGTGGTGTTTATACCAGCTTGGTCCCACCGGGTCCATCTCACGAGGTTCCCAGGGGGGCAGAGCCTTGCCTGCCTCCTTGAATTCCAGCGCAGGGGTGACCTCTCCTTGCTTTCCTGCCCACATGACTGGGAGGGGACCTCGAGGACACAGTCATGTAACAGTATTTCTGAGCACCTGCTGGGTCTCAGGCATTGTGTTAGGCCCTGGCAAAACCGGCTGCCAAGCGGATGATCAGTTTGGAAGGAGAGGGACAGTTGGCGCCTGGTTCCTGGCAGCAGAGCCAGGGGGTGGAACGTGTGCTGTTTAATGTGCTCCAGAGCCCAGCAGATGGGTTTGTGAAGGGCTGGTTGGGGGAATGAGCTTACTTCTTAGCTGTCCTGCTTCGTGATGTGGTGAGCTTCTTATAGAGTATGATGAGGATTCTTTGAGATACGCGGATCATGGAGCCTGCTTGCCTGGTCACGTGTTTTCAATCATTGATTATTTTATATTATTATTATCATGGTGGCCCTGAAGAGTAAATCCAGGCCTTTGACACTGAACTACATCCCCAGCCTTTTATGTTGTACTTGATTTTAAGATAAGGTCTTTTTTCCTTGAGACAGGGTCTCACTATATAGTCCAGGATGGCCTTAAGCCCACTATGTGGCCTGGCCTGGCCTCAAACTCGCAGCCATCCTTCTGCTTCGCCTCCTGAGTGCTGGGGTTACAGGTACACCAGGAGCACCGCCGCGCCGAGCTTAGGACAGGATCTTCACAGGTTGCCGAGTTTCCCCAGCTGGACTCTGAACTTGTGGTCCTCTAGTTTCACCCGCTCTGAGTACTGGGATTGCAGGAGTGTGCCACCCCACCTGGCTGCTGCTGCCATTCTTATGATTGTTATTATTAGCAGACGGAGGGATAGGCTCTTCCGGTCTATCTTCTGCTCCAAGGTTGAAGGAAAAGCCTCAGGGCTGGGCCAGACTGCCGGGCCAATCCTGTTCAGCCCTCTTCCCCAAGCGGCCTTGGAGCTCCCCCTGGTGGGCAGGGGACCTTGGTGAGCACTTGCAAGGGGTTTGCAGCCCCCCTGCTAACCCCCAACTTTCCCCCTAGCCGGATGACATTGGCCAGTCACCCATCGTATCCATGCCGGACGGAGACAAGGTGGACCTTGAGGCCTTCAGCGAGTTTACCAAGATCATCACCCCGGCCATCACCCGTGTGGTGGACTTTGCCAAAAAACTGCCCATGTTCTCCGAGGTGAGTGGCAAGTGGAGGCACAGTGCTGTAGTGTGCACTGCTGAGGTTCTTTGGACAGGAAGCGATTACTGCAGAACAACACACACACACACACACACACACACACACACACACACAGAGTGCACAGCGCCCATTTGGGCCTTCTGATACAGGTACTCTTATAGCTGGGACCTACCCAGTCACCTGGCTCCCCTGTAGGTGTGAGAGGTATACAGGTGCGCAGGAGACGTAATCACCAAGTTTCTGCGGGATGGGGTCACGGGGGACTGGCGGGAGGCCTGGCCGGGCGCTTGGGCAGGCCGTGCTGAGTGGTCCCCCGACCCTGCCTCCGCAGCTGCCTTGTGAAGACCAGATCATCCTCCTGAAGGGGTGCTGCATGGAGATCATGTCCCTGCGGGCAGCCGTGCGCTATGACCCCGAGAGTGACACCCTGACGCTGAGTGGAGAGATGGCTGTCAAGCGGGAACAGCTCAAAAACGGGGGACTGGGCGTGGTCTCCGATGCCATCTTTGAACTGGGCAAGTCACTCTCTGCCTTCAACCTAGATGACACGGAAGTGGCTCTGCTGCAGGCTGTGCTGCTAATGTCAACAGGTACCTGCTTGCTGGCTGGGGGCACCCTGAGGGCTCGGCAGGCCCAGATCTTGGCTGGACCCTGTCACTGCTGCCTGTTGCTGTCCTCCTGCCTGGGTGCCGCCGATTCTGTCCATCTCCTCAACCCACTTCTCAGTCCCCTCCCTTTCCCATGCTGCCTTTCTAACAGGCCCCACCTCGCCCCACCTCTGGTCCCCAGACCCATTGCACACTGCTCTTTAGCCTATCTGCGCCCTGTGTTTCCTCTCGGTCCCCATCCTCGTCACCCAAAGGCTCCTTTGTTCCCTTCTCTCCACTTCGTTCCCATCTACCTTCTACCCCCACCTTACTGACCACCAGCCCCTTGATTTGGGGACAGGAAGTTGAGACAGGGCCTCACTGTGTAGTCCAGCCTGCCCTTGAACTCGCTGTGCCGTGCAGGCTGGCCTTGGACTTGCAGTGGTCCCTTTGCTCCTGCCTCCTAGGTGCTGGCGTTAGCAGGTGTGTGCCACCACACCTCTCCCTGCTCACCGACCTGCTCCCTGCCTTAGTCTCCCTCTGAGTTCCCTTGCTCGAGCCCTTGCGTCCTGCCCTGGCTTCCCCGGTGCTCCCGCAGGCCCCTCATGCCTCCCCGCCTTCCCCGCAGACCGCTCGGGCCTGCTGTGTGTGGACAAGATAGAAAAGAGTCAGGAGGCGTACCTGCTGGCGTTCGAGCACTACGTCAACCACCGCAAACACAACATTCCGCACTTCTGGCCCAAGCTGCTGATGAAGGTGACTGACCTCCGCATGATCGGGGCCTGCCACGCCAGCCGCTTCCTCCACATGAAAGTCGAGTGCCCCACCGAGCTCTTCCCCCCTCTCTTCCTGGAGGTCTTTGAGGATCAGGAAGTCTAAAGCCTCAGGCGGCCAGAGGGTGTGCGGAGCTGTCAGGGAGGAGCCTGGAGAGGAGGGGCCAAGCTGGGGGCCAGGGGGACCCCCACCTCCTCTCTCCTCCTAATCCTGGGATAGATGCAGCTCCCCCACACACCCCGCACTGCCCAGGTCCCCAGATCCTCCAGCCCTGGCACAGGGCACACAGATGAACTCGCTGTGAAAGCATAGTGTGGGAGGCCGGGACCTGGTCCCCCAGTTTCTGGGAGCCCGTCCTGTGAGATGTGGGGGCAGGTACGGGCCGGGCCGAGCCATCGTGACCATAGGGAAAGGAAGGGTGTGGCTGGGGACTGTGCAGTCACCCCGTACACACGCAGGAGAGCCCCAGCCGGTCCTTGGCCGAAGCTTCCCCTCCAGGCTCAGGGCCTCTGGACGGCGTGGGCTGGGCTTTGCTCCTCCACTGGAGGTTAAACATGACAGTCGCCCTAACTGCACTTTGGAAACCAAGTGAGGGGAGAAGATAAATGAAGAAAAACTAGACAGAAAAAGACAAACGAGAGTGAGCGATAGAGAGAGATGATATTAAGTTATTAGCCGAGGCTGGCCAGAGGGGAAGGACCTGTCCTCCCTGTCCCCATGCACTTTGAGAGCTGCAACCCCAGAGCCGAGAGAGAAGCCCCTATACTCCTGGGGTACGGCTGCCCATCAGAGCTGTGAGTCAACACAACAGGGTCCTGGCCACCCCCTTGCCTTGCCCCACCCTCTGTGCCCCTTTGGCACCCTGTCCCTATTTCCTCTGCTCTCTGCCACTCGTGCCCGCTGAGTTCCATCTACCTCTCACGCTGGATGCCAGCTGGCCCCTCACCAGCCTGCCCTGCTGCCCACACAGCTCCCCCTTTCAAGTGCCCGGTCCCAGGGGCCCCTGCCTGGCCCCCTCATCCCCTACCTTGGCCGGGCCCCTTCCCACCTCATAGCCTGCAGTATTAGCTCCAATCCAGCTGCGGGGCTTTGTGCCCTGCCCTCCTCCTGGGCTCCCTGTGACCCACTCCCCTCAGTCAGTACACTAGCCCAGCCTGGGGGACAGCAAGGAGGAGGGGCATTTCCAGCCCTGCACTGGGGCCGGGCGGGGGGTGAGGGGTGGTGCCAACTTCCCTCCTGTTTTCTCTGAAGCTCTTTAGGCTGGTGGCCTCTGCCCCCTCCCGGAACCCCTTCCCCCTCTTTTCTCTAATTCAGGGACTTTGGCTTGAGCCCCCCAGCCTCCTGGTGAGGAGTGCTCTGTTGGTCTGCACTTGGGGGAGCTGCCCCCTCCCCTCCTCCCTCTGGCCAAAGCCCACTCCTCTGGGGAGACCAGGAGGGAGGAGCAAGGGGGGAACAGAGCAGACCAGAGGGCCTTGGGCTCAGGGCTGCATGTTGTCGGCAGGGATGGATGGGTGGATGCAGATGCCCCCGGAAGCCATGGGGAACAGGGTGGGGGCGGGGAGGGGTGTCGGGGCTTCCTGCGCTTTGCACTATTGGGGCACAAATGTCTTAAGCAGTGGGGAACCTGCCACTTCACTCTGACCCTCAGCCTGCCACAGCCCCCTACACACACACACACACACACACACACACACAGGCACACACGGAAGGCAATGCCATGCCACCAGCCTGGGCAGTGTCCTCCCTTCCCCACCTGTCAGGTGTTCTGGCCAGGCCTGGGGAGCACCATGTCACCTGTGCGTGTGCCTGCTCCGCCCTCTGGGGCCAGCCACCTTGCCGTCTTGTCTGTTTCTCCTCTCTCTCTCCTGGGCACTGACCCTGTGTCTTCTAGTCCATGGGCAATGCTCGCCCTGTCCTCTGCTCCCAGGGGCCCAGGGGCGTTCCTGACCCTCCTCTGTGTCCCACCCCAGCCATGGACATGTTGGCCTCTTAGGCACTTGGGAATCCCCCGTCCCCCCAATCACACGAGCTGTGACCCCCCCATCCCCTCCTTCCCCCTCAGTGATGCGGGGTGTGTGTGTGCGTGCGTGCGTGTGCGTTTCTCTGTGTGAATGTGGGCATGAGTACACGGGTTGGGGGCGCCAGGACACTCAGGAGTGCCACGCACCTGCTCTAGCGAGGCAGCTGTCCCAGCCCCTCCTGCGGAGTGAGGGACAGGGCCCTCTCCTGGGGGCCATTGGTGCTAAGGAGGGGGATGGCCTTGCGGTGGGTGCTTTGCACACCTCCTCCAGTGTTGGCCCGGGGCACTAGGGCAGGCAGGGCGGGCGGCAGGAGCAGGACTGCTGGAAGGGCTGGTCGCTGGGAAGAGGCTGAGGGGCCAGGCCAGGGCCACTACCCCGCCCCACCCCCACCTCTCCATCTCAGTATTGCCCAGCCATCACTTATAACACACATACCTCATCCAGCTCCTCCCTGCTTGGGCTTGGGGAGGGTGGGAGAGGAGGAGCCCCTCCCCTATCCCTGGGTGGCATGGTCTGCAGGGCCGGGAGAGGGCAGGGTGGGTGACACGGTGACAAGGACACCGTTCATGAGGGGGACAGGACTTCCTGCCCTGGGATCTCCTGGGTGGGAGATGGGGACACTGCCCAGAGGCGCTACTGAATGTATGAGAAGCTGGTGCTGGGGTGGGGGGAGGGAGGTCGTGGGTCCCTTCCAGGGTGGGGGGCTGGTAGGGGTGACTTGAGGGGCTCCTACTCCTGCCCCACGTTGACAATCAGTATGTCTGTTATGTGCGATTTTTCACCCCGTTTGTTTTGGGTCAGGATTTTAAAGAAAGATATTTTTATGGTAATTGTTGCTCGTCTATTTTACTATATATTTATGTAATAAATATATGATGAAAATACCCCCCTCGGGCACCCCCTTAGATTCGTGTGCTGTTTCCCTACAGCCTCTTCTCTGCTGGCCAAATTCCTGCCCCTCAAATTGACCAGATGGAGAGGGGTCCCCCACCCCCAAGACTTGGCAATAGTTCCTCCCCTCCCCTCCCCACCCCACCCCACCCCACCCCCAAGCAGCACACACCACAGAAGCCAGCTCAGCTGTGAACTATTGGATTTGAGACAGGAACAGAGCAAATGGGGGGGGGGCGCAGAGTCAGGGTAGGAGAGCCAGAGTGGTTTAAATAGGGGAGGACAGGAAGCTTGGCGATTGGGGGTGGAGGGGAACAAGTATTTACAAGAAGGCTCAGGGGGCCAGAGGCTCATCTTGGAATATTTTATAACAATATAAATAAGATTCTGGTTTGCTTTTCCTTTTCGTCTCGTAAAGGAGAGAGAAGTGCAGAGTTCGATTCTGTACAAGGGGGCAGCGGCAGAAGGCCGGCCGGGCGGGTCACTGGGCGTCCACCCGGAAGGACAGCAGCTTCTCGGAATGCATGTTGTTCAGGGTCCGCAGGTCCGGCAGCTTGAGCAGCAGCTTGGTGAAGCGGGAAGTCTCCGAGGGCCGGTTCTTCAGCACCAGAGCCCGAAGAGCCCGCAGCAGCGTCTCCTGGAGGTGCTCCACCGAAGCGGAGTCCTCCATGCCCGAGCGGTCTGTGGGGATGACGACAGCAGTGAGGCGGGCTCCCTGAGCTCCTCTGAGGAGGACCCTGAGGGCTGCGAGGACCCAGCCGGCTCGGCAGCCTCAAGCCCCCCTCCCCTAGAGGGGGCCTGCAAGATGGAGGAGGAGCCAGGCCACAACCTCTCCTCCTCCTCCCGGGCCACCACCCCGTCTCCTCCCTGCACGCAGGGTGGCCCTCTCTTTGCTCCATAGTCCCCTCTGCCTGGGACGCCCTCCCCCCTCTGCCTGCCAACATCTTCCCTGTCCTTGGAGGCCCTACTCCAGTGTCACCATCCTCCCCAGCTCCCCCAGGCAGAAATAGTTGTCTGTGCTTCTTCGGTTCTTGCTTCTCCTGTGACACTTATCTCACTGTTTTATAATTAGTCGGGCATGAGTCTGTTTCCCAAGCTAGACTGTGTCTCAACCATGTCTGTATCCCCAGTGCCCGGTGCGGGGCCTGGCATAGAGTAGGTACTCCATAAAAGGTGTGTTGAATCCAACTGCGTCTGCCTCCTCCCGGCCCAGGCGCGAGCTTCCCCTACCTGCGGACACCAGCACCACTGCGGTGAAGAGACCCAGCTCCTCCTCGGTGAGCGCCAGGGAGTTGAGCTTCTCGCTGAAGTCGAACATGGCGCTCAGTAGGTCTCCCATGCCCATGGCGCCCAGCTCCTGCAGGCTATAGGTGGTACGGCTCAGGAACATCACTGTCTGGTCCTTCACGTTGAACAGCGAGGCGAAGCGCACCATCAGCACCTGGAGTCGGAGGCAGTGACCCTGGGTGAGGTGCGGGGAGCCAGGGCCAAAGCACCCCAAACTTTGGCACAGGGTTTATCATGGCTGCCTTAGGATTCTCGGGGTGGGTCAGTCATTGGATCAGCAATCTGGGTTCTGGAAGGGAGCATCCAGTGACTTGGCATAGGTACTTTCAGAATGGGGGAGGAACAGACCACAGGGCAGCATCTTCACGTCAGATGTTGGAACTAGACCCCAGCTGGGATGACCCAAGTCCCTGTCCCTCAGAGGTAGGAGTACAAGGTCACCGGCCCCTTCCCATCACACACTGGGGTACCCAGGCCCTTCTACAGGTTCTTCCCAAGGTCAAGCCCAGGGAGCAGAGGTCACTCACCTCGAAAGTACCAGCCTTCAGCAGGGTGACCTGGTCATGCTGAGAAAGGTCACGGAAACCAGGGATGTGCTTGGCAAATTCCACCACCTCTCGCACAGCAGGTGTGAAGCTCAGAGAGAAATCCTCCCAGATCTCCTGCACGGTCCGGCCGCTGCGTCCGTGGGGGTACATGTTCATGGGGCATGCCTGGGGAAAAGGGGTGTGGGGATGGTGCCTGTCAGGCTGGCTCAGACAGCCCCAGAGACGGTCATCTGTGGAACACAGCAGGCAGTCACACATCTGTGTCCCTACCCCTCTGCCCATGTCCTCACCAGCAGGATGTTCTTGGAGCTGTCTTGCTGAGTATTACTAGCAGGAGCCTCGCCTTCCGGGGCTGCGTACACGTGGGTGGGGCAGAGACGGTGCCCATTGCTGTTCGGCTGGTGGCAGCCATGGTGGGCAGGGCCAGGTGGCCAGGTGGGAGGATAGGAGGAAGGGGCTTGGTGTAGACCGTTTAGGGCTTCACTGTGATGCTGGGCAGCCGAGGTGTTATTGTCGTCGGGGACAGGAGGGCAACACTGACTCTCCCAGCGCTGGGGGTTGGGGGCTGAAGGACTACCAGATGCATGGTTGGCATTGAAGTTCCCTGGTGAGGTTCCCAGCTTGTCATGGGCATAGGTGAAGATCTCGCGATGGGCCCGCGCCACCTGGGATATCACATCCTCCATGGTGGGCTCAGGGCTAGGGGATCTGGGTGGCGTCAGCTGTTGTGGGAACTGGGAGAAGCCCACCAGTGGGGAGGGGGCTGGAGCGGGAGGTGGCGAGGGGCCCATGGGGCCAGAGGTGGGGTGTGGGGTGGGCGAGGTCTCCAGTGGGCACTGGCTGCTCAGCTGATTGTTGGCCAAGTTCATGGCACTCTGCATCTCTGCCAGCATGCGCTGCTTCTCTCGTTTGGGGATGCGCCCAAAACGCACGGCTGCAACAGGATGGGAGCCGCGTCAGGAAGTACACACGCGTGCGAACACACACGTCTCTTCCTTCCTCTTCAAAGGGGCGAGACTGTAGGCCAGGAGTTCAGCCACCCACTGAAACCAGCAAGGCCACATCCACCCAGAGGGTTTCCAAGTAGGACGGCCAGTGGGAGGGGACCAGCAGGACCAACCAATGAGAGACAAAGATTTTTTACCCAAGAGGGTAACACAAGGGCATCCTCCAAGCACATGAGATTCTTGCACCCTGTGTCTCAGCTTGGGACCGTTTTGTTGTTTTAAGGAGGGATAAAATCAACTGCTGGGTGGAAGGGGCGAGGAGGACGCGGGTGCCGGGTGCCGCCTCACCATCTCGAGACATGCCCACGGAGAGGCACTTCTTAAAACGACACTGCTGGCAGCGGTTGCGGTTGATGCGGACGATGGAACAGTTCTCATTTTTCAGACACCTTTTGTACTGGATGTTCTGCTGGATGCTGCGACGGAAAAAGCCCTGGGGGGGAGGGGAGGGGAGGGGGGCAGTGAGCATCTCCAGTCTCCAGCCTGCCTGGCCGTGCCCCCAGTGGAGGGTAGGACACGACATGCCCTTGGCCCACGAGCCTCACCTTGCAGCCCTCGCAGGCATGCACGCCGTAGTGGAAACCAGAGGCCACATCCCCGCACACTTTACATAGTAGCACCATGCCATTGAGCTCTGCGGGAAGATAGGGGGGAAGAGAGGCCTGTCTGAGTGCTCCGAGAGATGCAGGCTTCCTGTGCTGGGACACCAGCCCCCTCCCCAAGGATGGAGCTCCAGGGTCTGGGTGCACTTGAAATGTCCAGACTGCACTGCACAGGGGCTAGTGCAGTTCTGGAGAAATCCCTGAGGCTAGGGAGGCCCCACTCTTAGCTCAGCCCTGGCCTTCTGTGCTGCCCCCCACCAATCACACAGTGACTCACTGGTGATGCTGCTGGTGCTCTTGCTGGGAGACACTCGGCTGCTGTCCTCCATGGCCACTTGTCGAACCCCTGGGGGGCTTCCATTATAGGAGGATGAAGAAGAGGAGGAAGAGGTGGAAGAAGGCGAGCTGTCGTCGCTCAGGCTGGGGGGGATGCTCCCGAAGGAGCGTGCAGGGTCCTGGGTGAGTGAGCCGGTGGGTGAGGGTGGAAAGTAGGTGCTGAGGCTGCCTTGGGTCAGGGACTGGAAGCTGCCGTTGGAGCTGTCGCTGCTGTAGAGGGACTCAGGGCTGGTTCGGCTCGGGGAGGAGCCACTGGAGCCAATGTAGGTGATGACGCCACCTGGCAGAACGCAGAAGGGCTGGTTGGCCACCTTGTCTGGTATACGAGGGTACCACGGAGCTCATCCCCAAAACACTGCTCCTCTTCGGAGTTAACCATGTGGAAGCCCTGGCCTTGGAGTTAACAAGCAATTCCCAAACACATCCTAGACCCGGCACCACTGATGCAGTAATTCTCAACAGCGGCCATGCCAAGCTACTCACAAGTAACAGCCCAACAAATGGTAGACGGGGCGCAGCCAACCCCATAGCCCTTCCTTGCGTAATACAGCAGCTTCTGCTTTGGGCATGAGGCGTGACCCCTGCAGTCATCTCCTGCCCCTGCTGTGCATCCCTTCCTGGGCTTTCCTGGGGATGTCACAGCAATGCCTTAGCTGTCAGTGGCAGAACTAGGGATGTTTAGAAGAGATGAGCTAAGATCTCACACTGCCCGGTCCTCCAAAACCAGAAATCAATCAGCAGCCCGTTCTAACTCCAAGATCATCCAGGGAGGAGACACAGAGGGACGGCCAGCCACTAGCAAGGAGAGCAGATGTCTCGCAAGGAAACGTCACACTCCCTCCACACTAGGAGATACACTCTCGGAAGATACCGCAGGGAAGGAACCAGCGCAGCCTGGCTCCCTCGGACTCCAAGGGATGAGACAGAGGACCCTACCTCCGCATGGAGGAAGGACAGCAGCATGAGCTGCAGGAGGAGGAGAAGGAGGACAAACTGTCCAGCTTCCAGCCCTGGAATTCCCCTTTCCCCAGCTCAGCCTGGTGACAATGCTGGTTTTCTGGCCACTCAGGGACTTTGGCCCTCTGGGTACACTGCCAACCATGGGTTCTGCTCCCGTGGCATTAGCAGAATTAAAAGGTGACCTGCCTGCCACACCCCTAACAAAACAACCTAGTTTGGCCTGCCAGGGGCTGGGTGGGAGAAGGGAGACTCCCAGAACACGTGTGACCTGACACAAGCCATGCCAGTGTCTACAGAGGCACATGTCTCCCTCACCCACTGACACACACTCGCCTGGGCAGGGCAGCCTTAAAATAGCTCAAGGTTGGTCAGGGTGAACCCAGCTCCCTGTAAAACAGTTGCACAACAGACTAGCTCCTACAATTTCAGGGCTGAGGTGGGGGATGGGACGGGTAGCCCTGGTAGGCGAACTTGACCTAGTTTACCCACCCCCCAAAAAGGGAGTGAGACCCTCATCCACAGGGACTTCACCTTTGAAGCCAAGGGCTCTCACAACAAAGTCTAGTCCTCATCTATCACCATCAACTCGCTCTGTCACCTAGAGGAAATCCGGGGCCCTCTCTGGTTCTGCTCTCCTTTCTTGCAGAGTGAAAGGATAAGGTGCTTTGATAACAGTGAGAACTGGGAAGGTAGAAAGGGAAACAGGGGCCAAACGCATTACAGTGAAATAGGTGCAAAAAGACGGTAAGAAGGTGAGAAGCCAGGTCAAGGGTGGTCAGGTGTGAGGTCCCTCCGGGGAGGTAAATAGGAGTCCAAGAGAGGTCAGGGGCGGCTCCCTCTCACTCCGCCTTCGTGATGGGGGGAAGGGGCCGGGCTGGCAGGAAAAGGAGGCAAGCGGGGGCGGTGAGTCAGCCAGCTTCACCCAGATCTCGGCTGGGCGGGGCAGGAGCCCGGCCCTCAGCCGGCCTCACGTCCCCGCTCCACGTGTGCCCCTCGCACGTGGCTCCCCAACGAGGAACCCCGGAACTCAAGGCCCCGCCCTCTCCGCTCCAGTCTGTCCCCAGCCGCAGCCCCGCCCCGCCCCTCCCCGGCGTCCTAGGTCTGGGCCCAGCCCATATCTCAAGCTGGGCCAGGACAACCTAGGAGAGGAGCGCAGGGAACACGCGTTGCTGGGACAACCGGGGGCGGAGCTCATTATGTAATGGGGCCGGCGGGCTGCGACCAATGGGGTGGCGGCCATGGCTTCTGCTGAATGAAAACAAACGCAGCACGTGGCCCCGGCTCCGCGGCCATGTGAGCGCTCCCCAGCCGGCGCAGCGGGTGCCCTACCCGGGACCCAGCTTCGAGCTCCTGAGTCCTTGATTGCCGCTCCCGACTCTTACTGAGGATTCCCCCATGAGATAGGACCCGTGTCCCCAGCCCTCCTGTCCCGCTCATTCTCCCGCTTGTCAGATTCCCTAAGCCTTGGGGGACTGGAGAGGGGAACCGGGAGGGAGATAGTCCAGAACTGCAGGAGGTGGACAGATGGAGATGTTTCAGGACACAGCTCCACAGCCCCCGTTGCCCTAAACTCCAGCTCTACCCTGTCTTCGCTCTGCATTTCCTCCTGCCCAAGGACTTGGGTCCTGCAGGTTCAAGGGAGCTTTAGGTGTCCGATGGTGTGTGAGCTTCAGGGCGCATGCCCCACCCAAGGGTTCCTCTGTGCCCTGACAAATCCTGGGGCAGAGGGAGTCCCCAAGTCCTTCCAGAGCTCCTCTGGTTGTGGGGAATCGATGGAAGTTGGTGACAGTGCCCGAGCAAGGAGGGGATCAGTGAAGGCATAGCATACCTGTGTTGTTGTTGGAGTCCAGAGTCGTCATGTCTTCACTGGTCGAGAGTGGTCATTCAAACCGGACCTCAACGCAAACTGGAGATCGTACTTGCCGCTGCTCCCCGCTGGACACTGGCTGAGAGCAGAGAGGGGACCCCGCAGCTCTCGATCAGGATTCGGGGCAACCCTCAGCCGCAAGGTCTCGGGGTGACCGGACTGCAGCTCTGCAGAGGGATCGGATGCGGAGAAAGCCACGGAGCTCTGCTTTGCATGGGAGAAACAGAGGAAGTGTGTTGTGGGAAGCGGCCCGCAGTTCCTCAGACTGGAAGCAGCAAGGGGGTCGGGTCCCTGCAGTGCACCGGGTGTCACTGCAGCGCTGCAGCGTAGCGAATCTGGAGCTCCCGATGCAAAAGTCCCAGAGAGAGAGGTTGCAACCAGGAAGTAAGTAGGTGATGGGAGAAACGGGGCACCCAGGCGCAAAGAGGAGAGACGTGTGCCCTGCTACGTTCCCTCGGCAGCAATATTTCACTCTGCCAATCTCAGCCGCCTTTTGCCCGAGCCTTTCCCTGGGACAGAGGTCTCTGCGCAGGCGCCAGCAGCCCAGGGTTCCCGGGCCGCACGCGGCACTGGAGGAGGTACCATGTGATCCCAGGGAGCGCCTCGTGCCCCAGTGACACACTTTTCCAGCAGCCGGCACGTTGAGCCCTGTGCGCCTGCGCGCCGCACGGACTGCTGGGATTTGTAGTTCACGACAAAGTGGGCGGACCATGTCTGTTTCCCCTTTCTGCCCAGCAAAAGTGCTTGCTGGCACTGGGGAGGAGCTGAAAGCAGAGTGGGGTGGGGTTCACCATAGAGTCAGGGTGGCGTGTTTGGACAGCCTGTGTGGCTGGGGCATGTGAATTCCCGGGGAGGGCCTGTTGGCTAGCTGGGCTACTCTGAGAGATCAAAGCTAGCAACCCCTTTCTGCAAACCTTGCAAACGTGAGCGCTTCACGTGATAGCAAGACTGACCTGGCCCCGAGGTCACTGGTAACACGGGCCCACAGACAAACGGGGGAGGGCAGGTTCTGAAGCTGCCTTGTGACCCAGCCCCAGAAAAGCAGTGACCCCCTTTCACTTCTGCTCCACTTAGGGAGACTGCCCGGAGAGAAAGGCTGATCCTGGAGGTGAGGATGTCTCCAGGGACTCCCCCGTTGGTTATGTGCCACACCCTCACCCACTGCAGGTGACTTGGGGGTGAGTCATTTCCCTTTGTATGGTAAGTTGAAAAGGACAGCAGAGGGGAGCTTGGTGGGGAAAGTGCCTTCGGGCTCCAACAAGATGGTTTAACCCAGCAGCAGCAGGAGCCTGAGGACAGTGACAGCCCTCCTGCTTCCAGTGCTCAAGGAGAGCCTGTGAATTCCACAGAGGCCAACTGGAGGGGCACAGAAAACTCTTAACCCTCAGCCCTTACTAAAGATGAAAATCAGGCTTAGACCTTCATTGCCCCACCGACTCGTTGGGAGATGATCAAGGGACACATGGGACAGGGCTTAGAAGTGGCCAGCATCTAGCTGACCCTGGTGGCATACACCTGCAATCTCAGCTACACAATAAAACGTCAGCTAGCATCTCCCTTCAGAGCAGCAGTGACCCCAGGGAAAAACAGGTTTCCAGGCCTCAAGCAGGGGTCTGTCCTCTTCAAGGGCTGTAGTTGGTTCAAGAGACGAGCTCCTGCTGGAGCCAGGTGAGGCTGAGACCCTGCCCGCCTGCCAGGTCCTCCTCAGCCCCAGAGTTTTTAGGAAAGTTTCTCCCCAAAGCAGCCCACCCCTCAAGGCCATGGACCACTCCAGGGGCAGCCTGGGAAACGTGGCAGCCACCCAAGAGGCAGCAGAGAACAGAATGTGGGCTGGGTATAGTGGCTCACACCTATAACCCCATCACTTGGGAGACTAAGGCGGGAGAAGCACCATGAGTTGGAGGCCACATTGCAAGACCCCGTCTCAAAAAGCAAAAAGAAAGAAATAGAAAGAGATTTCTTGAACCTCGGGGTCTGAGGCTGGCCTTGAGAGCACAGCTAGATCCTGACCCTGGACTGCCAGCGCTAGCTAGGTTCTCTAGAACAACTCTGTACCAGTGCAAGATGGGGCCCGCCCTGACCCTGGGGCGGGAGGCTGGGAAGCAGCAGCAGCAGAGCGTGGGAGGAATCGGGAGCGGCCGACAAACAAGGAAAGAGGCTTTTCAGGAAAACTTGGTTTTGCTCTCAGCCTCCACCCACGCTCCCTCCTCCCACTGGACAGTGGAAGGGGAGCCCCGCCGGCCCTGTCTGGCGCTGCCAGCTCTCTAGGACCTTCTGACTGGGGGGTGGGGGCACGACACCGGGAAGGGACAAGGACTCAGAATCAGGGTCCCCTCAGGATCCCTGATGCCGCAGATAGACCGGCTGTGTACACTGCCCTGCCTGGCCCTGGGTCCCCTCAGGCCCACTGCTTTGCCCTGCTGGCTGCTGCAGGGCATTTGTCCCTCTGGGGAAGGGACAGGGATCTGGGGCTTCCCCCCCCATCTGGGCGCGAGGGGGGGGCGGGGGGGCACTGAGGCAGCCAGAGCTGAAGTACCGCAGGAGGCTGTTTTCTGTAGTCCACCTGCAGTCAAAGGTCCAGAAGGGGCTACCTGTGCCTCCACCTTTCTCTGCGCTTTCTATGGTCCCTCCTTTGTTTACTGTGTTCTATTTTGCCTCACTGTGTAGCCCAGGCTGGCCTCAAACTCACGGTGGTCCTCCTGCCTCAATCTGTTAGAATTATTAGCCTGTGCCCCGTGGCCCAGCTCATAGGACCTTACCTCCCTCCCTTTTTTTGCGACAGGATCTGGCTTTGTAGCTCAAGGTGGACTTGAACTCAGTATGGAGCCCAGGCTGGTCTCAAACTCGAGGTGATCCTCCTGCCTCTGCCTCTCACGTGCAGGGATTGCAGGCGTGTGGCACCACACCCATTTGACCTTAACCTTTAAGCCAACTAGTACATCTCTTCCTCTCCCACCAGCTGGACACACCAGCTGTCCACCTTGTGGTCGTCATCATCTTTTTCCACTTCCTCCTCTGCTTTTTCTTCTCTTCCTCCTTCCTTGTGTGCGTGTGTAGTCTGGGTGTGCTGCATGCTGGACACAGGAGATGCTGAGCTACACCTCCAGCCAGCTTTCTACCTTCTGCTTTGTGACAGAATCTTAATAAGTTGCCCAAACTGGCCTTAAACTTGTGATCCTCCTGCCTCAGCCTCCCAAGTAGCAAGGATTACAGGGATCTGCCATCATGCCAGCCCCAGTGCACGTCTAACACACTCTCTGTGATATTCTCTCGCTTGCTCGCTCCCTCTCCCTCTTTCTCTCTTCCTGAATAGCAACACCTGAGCCCAGGAAGGGATGGGAGGCAGGCACAGAGCTCCGCAAGGCCCAGCCCAGGACCCGCACTGCACACGCTTCCCCTTGGGCTCCTCAGTGTGGGACGTGGAGCCTGAGCAGCACAGTGGATTTGCTGCATGGGGGGACGGTGGCAGCACAAGGTCAGGACAGGGCTTGAGGCTCAGGGCCAGCATATGGGCCTGTGACTGCAGGAGGGTAAGTGTGAGCGGCGTGGGGAGGTGAGTGCCCGTGGGTGTGCGCGTCTGAGCTCAGACTGCCCCGTGCAGGCCCTGAATGGCCTACATCCCAGGCCAGCTCCTGACCCACAGAGGGTGGGTCCTCCCGGAAAACAGGTCAGGCCTTGGTAAGTGCTTTCCCATCCCCCTCCCTTCTCACGGAGGAGCTGCTGCCCAGCCCAGAACCTGTCAGCCCAGGTGACTGATGCAAACTGGGACAGAAACCCTACAGATGACTCCAAACTGGGAAAGCAGGCCTGCACTGGGAGCGGTCCCTTCCCTCCCGTCCAGAATCCTCGTCCTGCTCTCCCAGGCCACCCTGGACTCTGCGCCCACCCAGAGCTTTAAGATCTAGGGAAGACATCGAGCTTTGCCAGAGAGGACTGAGCCTGCTAACTTGAGGGTGAGCTGAGGAGGGTTCTATGGGAGCATTTTCGCAGGGGCGTGGGGCTGAGACAGGATCTTGCTGTGCAGCCAGGGCTGG